AACATCTTTAGGTTATAATTTGGCCACCTATTTAAATGTTAATTATGTAGAATGTCTAAGTGACAAACTTATTAGAAAAGAAATCCATATTTGTGTCTCAAATTTATCTATTAGCTTAACTGTGTTGTTCATGTCAAGTTTCTAATAAATAAATTGTGTCCAACACCATCTGAAAATGAAAAAAATAACCCTTTTTCTGTTTTGAGAATATATATATATATATATATATATATATATATATATATATTTTTTATTTATTACAATTGATCTTATTATTAATAATCTAAGTTACAATATAAAGATCGGAGCGTTTAAACCGGCAACACAATAAATTAAAGAAAAAAGTCATATTCTTCAGACAATCCGACACTTACATAAAGATATAAAAGAAATCAAAAGGAAAAACTTCAAAAATAAAAAAAAATAAAAATAATCCATGCATGAAATTAAGTGCACGTCTACATTAAGCAAACGAATGGCACAGAGTGACAGACGGCAAAATAAACATAGTTCGAAATTAATCTTACACGACTTGGACTTCTTCACCAACACTCAAATCAAAAGCAAAGGTTGGTTGGAATTTGCCTTGTTTGACTAGTGGTATCGTGGCCCATTTCTGGGCTTATTTGGATCCGTGTGCTATGGTCCATTACTGGGCTGCATGCTGGCTTGCATGAATTGATGCCTTGGCCCACTCCTCTTGAAACTCAACCTGAATTATTGCTGAAATCTAAATCTGCCATCTCAGTCTCTCCAGAACTGTTGTTGGGCCCAGATCCATCAGATGGGCTGCCTGAGCTGTCCCGTTCAAGTGGGACATCAAACCCACCGTATTCTTCATTTGTACTACGCAACTCCCCTGAAGAGTAGTGTGTTTGATTAGTGATGACGAACATCTCTGCTTCGAAAAACGTGACATCCATGTTGACATATAGTTGCTTATGGGTGGATGGTAGTTGGCTATTAAACCCGAAAAAGACACAATGAACGGCACACGAATTCAATTTACTTTATTGATTCTTGTGAAGATACACTTAGGCCACGCACCTAAATATACGAGGTGATAATTGAAGAGAGGATGGTAAAGTAATTAAGACTTCCATGGGAGTTCAAAAAAGTCTTGAACTCAAGTAGGCATTCGATTAAGTAGAAGGGGCATGAGCCTCAATGAGAAGAGCTCGTGTAGTCTCCAAGATATGTCTGTTCTTGCATTCTTCCACGCCGTTTTGTTGATGAGTTTGAGGACAAGTAGTCTCATGAAGTATGTCGTGCGCTGTGAAAAATTGTGGTAGCTCCGAATTAAGATATTCTCCACCATTATCAGTTCGAAGAACTTTGATAGGACAAAAGAGAAATTTGACTTCCAATCATGCGATAAAACAGTTGAAAGATTTGCCCAACATCACTCTTTTGTTTCATAATATAGAGCCAAGTCATTCCGGTGCAATCATCGACAAACGTAACATACTAACGAACACCATGGTGAGTTGCTATTGGTGAAGGCCCCAAACATCTGAATGAATTAACTCAAAAGGCACTATTCTTTTACTGAAACTCAAATGATAAGAAGTACGATGACTTTTTGCAAGAATGCAATCATTATATTGAAAATCAGAGTTTGAAACGCCATTAAATAAAGAAAAAGTAATTTTTTTTTCTAAATAACGAAAGATGCATGTCCTAATTGACGATGTCATAGCCAAATTTGCTTGATATTGTTATTGTGACCACTGCAGACTTGGTTGACTCGGCCTGTTAGCACTTCATCCACATAATATAACCCTCTCCTCTTGGTACCACTCCCAATGATCGTGGTACAAGAGGTCCTATAAAATAGAAATAAGAATCCCAATTATACAAAGAATCAATCATATGATCACATTCCCAAACTATATGGTTGATTCACACCAACAAATAGTTATAAAGGAAATACAAATGATTAATTAGCTGATATGTTTGAGTGTGCCAAGGTTGAGTCAAACTGAGAACCGTGCAGCTCAAGTTCTCTCGCTTCTGTTCTCCCAGTAATTTGAATCAGGATTGACGGGATACAGATCGTGAGCAGACGCAGACGAGGCAGTCCATGGCCCTTCAGTTGACTCAATTTCTATCTGTTTCTCGCACGTGCCCCTTCCAAAACTAGATTGAAAATGTTTCCTCATTGCATCAATCTTAATACTCTCGGCATTTGGATTCGAGACCGACTCATGAACAACAGTCTTTCCTTCGAGCATGCTCACAACCGAAGACATGGTAGGCCTAGCTGTCGAAGTAACATTGCAACAAAGGAGAGCCACATTGATTGCAACAATCATCTCCTCTTTATTCAAGTCTGATCCTAACCTTGGATCAACTAGGTCCATCAAATTCCCCTGATCTTTTAGAAGTCGTGCCTACAAAAAATGGAAGTAACAAAAGCAATATAAATTCTGTCTTTGGATTAAACTTCATCGATTCAAATGTACTTTCACACATATAAGGCATATTAAGAAAATTTGAAGTTAAATTAGGAAGTAGTAGATTGATGTTACCCAATCAAGAAGATAAAAGCTTTCTTCCTTTTTCCGGTAAGTTGTGTTGTTTCTCCCACTAACAATTTCCAATACAAGAATACCAAAACTATAGACATCTGCTTTATCAGTCAGATAACCCCGCATTGCATATTCGGGCGCCATATATCCACTGCAATATCATGAAATCATATCATTAACCCATATTGAGCTAAAATAATTAGTAAAAATATTGCTAATTGAATACTTCCAATAGTTAGAGAGATAATAAGTAATACAACTATATTGAAAGAGCATATCTGCCCTTCAAACTTCTTGAACAACAAGGATTTGGTTAGGTTGAAAATTAAATAAGTTAGAGACTTTCCTTTTGCTCTATCTTCTTTTTTTAGGGTGGAAAAAGATTAAAACAAGAGAATAAGAAGATAAATAAAAGTGTAGGGACTCACTAAGTTCCAGCAATACGAGTGCTAATGTGTGTATTATCTTCTTCATCAAGTTTGGCCAATCCAAAGTCAGATATTTTCGGGTTAAGATTTTTATCAAGCAAAACATTAGTAGCCTTGATGTCCCTATGAACAACCTTCAATCTTGATTCCTCATGAAGATAAGCTAAACCTCTTGCTGTACCAATGCAAATCTTGTGCCTTGTTGGCCAATCCAACTTTAAATGACTTTCTTTTTCCCCTTCAATTTGCCAAATTAAACAGGGTTAGTTGTAAAGGACATATTTTTAGTGCATAAGATCTTTTATGCCCACTATATGAATGAAATGAACTTTTGGCAAATGAGATTGATATTTACTGAACAAAGCATGAGCGACACTATTATTTTCCAGGTACTCATAGACAAGCAATAGTTGATTTCCCTCAATACAACATCCGTGGAGCTTGACAAGATGAGGGTGTTGCAAAGCAGAAATCATGCCAATCTCATTAACAAATTCACGATTCCCTTGCTTTGATTTGGAAGAAAGCTGCTTAACAGCTATTACGGTTCCATTAGCTAGAACGCCCTACATTTGAGAAAGATAGTCAAACTCTCATCACTATATGGAGCAAATTAACTTTCATTAGAACGGACAGTATCAAAGTAGGAAAAAAAATGTAATAAATAAAAAAATATTGGCTCCGAAGAATACCTTATAAACAGAACCAAAACCACCTTCACCAATCTTATTGGCTTTGTCAAAGTTGCTTGTGGCATCTTTGAGTTGCTTGAAGGTAAATTTACCAGTTTGCAGGTCCACACCCTTCAAATCTGTATAACAAGTAAAACTCATAAGAAATTGTGTCGAAGAAAACTTTGAGAACAATAGCATTCTTAGTTCTTAATATTTTGTGCATGATTCTAGAATTTAACTAGTAATTGGATCCATAGGTAGACACTCTGCATCATGAGTCTGGACGATAAATATATTATAGCAACATCAAAGTGCCGGAAAGCTCAATATCTAAATAATTACTGTCTTTGTGTATGCACATCAATATGCATGAGAACCATGCAAAAAAATAGCACAAATATTGTTCTTAGTCACGAAAAAAAGTTCGATAAGAAAAATTAATGGAGAAACAAAAAGGAAAAACCAGTACAACAGAATAAACTGCAAATTAATACCATCCTCCAATGTCTTTTTTCGTCCTAGGAGGCCTCTCTTCCAAAGAATACCAAATATCAGTAGTACAATGAAGACTCCTCCAACCACAATTCCAACCACGGCTCCTACAGGCATAGAAGATTCTGACGGGGGAACAAAGTCTGCCAGAAGAAAGAGTAGCTTAAATTAGAATAAATGTAAATGTAATTGATATGAGAGTGGATCATTCAACCAACTATCTAATGCACACAAAAACAGAAGATTGAACCCGGTCTTTGAGGCATCTTTAAATAAGTAGATAGTATATGAAGTAATCCCTCGAACAAACTTTCTTTGGATGGTTGTAAATTTTTAATGTTTCCTCAAGTGAAATGGTTAGTTTCCATGTAAATATTAAAAATCCTTGAAGTTGAATTTTGTTGTATTTAAAAGTGTCAACATGTTACCTAGAAAAAAAAACAGCATATTATGCGATAAGAAAATTTAAGAGAGTATTTCTTCAAGTCTTGTCTCAAACTACGTGGAGTAAAACACGAAAAACACAGAAGCATATCTATTCTAAAGTTGGAGGGGAATTGGCATGTTCATGGCTACAGTCAAGAAAATGCCATCACCTTATTTGCAAGAAAGCCATCTGATTTGGGGCTGGGTTGGAGGGTAATTTTGTCGTTGGGATTTGGGTGCCCTGCTATACACGTGTTGGGCTGACCAATACATCGGGTTGCATTCGTGGGATCGACGACTGTGTGGGGTGGGATTTGGTGAGGGGATGGGTTAGAAAGAGCCTTCAGCTTGCAGAGAGGGATGGAGAGAGAGAAAGAGAGAGCTTGAAGAATATCACCACTTCTCCTGAACGAGGGTTAGCTGTGCAATTCCAGTTCTCTCTCTAAAAAAAGCCAAGGCTTATAGTAAGGTTTTCAATTTACAAATGGTTTTTCTGTTCAGATTTTCTTTTTGTGAGTTTTGTGTGTGAATTTGTAGCATGATCTTCCACTGCATCATCCAAATTTTGCATTTGTAAATTGTCAAAGAAAAACAAAGTATGAGGAATTTATAGGAGATTGTGTCGGCTTTGGCCATGAAGGGTATCAGCAGGTTGTTCCCCCATACAGGTGATTAATCGTTTTTCAGTATGTGTTCTATTTGGATGAGAAAGTGATTGAAAAAGATGATTTTTTTTATTTGTTGGTTGATTTGTGCATGGACTATGTATTAAATTTTATTTTATTTTTTAATTATTGGGATTTTGTGTATTGTGTAGAACCAGCAATGCAAGAGCAGGATCTGATCAGTCACATTCGAAAAGAGGTTTGTTCCTCAAATCACATTCATTAGTTTGATTATTTGTGTATGGGCTCATGTATCTTAAACATGTAGTGAGAAGTGAGGATTTTGTTTTAGTGTTTTAGATAATCTGATGGAATATGTAGATACTATGATTTGGGGTTGCTTTCTTAAACCATGATAAAGCAGTCCAAGTAAATTTAACATAGATATCATTTTTTATGTAATGCATGAGTTTATGAAATGTTAAGACGATAATATATCATGTGATTTAAAATTCAAAGAGAGACAATGAATCGTGTTTGATATTTTGTTTGTCCTGATTCGTTTAAATTTGGACGTTTTTCAGTTGGATTCATCATGTTTGATATGAATGGCTTGCCAATGCAAAAGTTTGCATCTTTTCTTTGTTGGATTCATGGGGTTTTCTTAAGCTTTCAAGTTTTTAGTTTTTATCGAGAAATTTTGGATTTCATTTATTTTTCGAACTACACTTTTTTGTTAAGATTTTCTTTATACTTCAGTAAATGATTGCTTCTTTACCTGTAAATTTTCAGGTTGTTCAAAACCCACAACGAAGTGCGGGCAATTTTTCTAGTTTATGCGGAAATACAAGGGAAAGGAAATATTGAAGAAGAAGAACCCTGTAGAACTGAAGGCGGATCTCTTAATTTAGTAGATATATCAATGCATATGATCAACGCATAGTAATTAGACGAAGCTCAGATTAGTGAAAACTTACTTGGGTTTACTGAAATAGCTGAAATAAGAGGACCATAGACTCCTCTAAGAGGGATGCCTGTCGTCCCTTTCCCGGCCCAATATAAACGAATCTCCAATGTATTATTAGTTACAAGAGTAGTAAAGTTCTTTATGACTACATCACCAAACTCACGGGCTTCGTCCATGATATTGAAGTCCTCCTCCTCCAGTTTTCCCTGCAATACATACATGTATATATACTAATTTAGTTGCTCAAATTTCATGATTATAAATGTGAAAGTTAACATTCAAATCGACCAAAATATAAACAATGCTTGTTAGAATAATTCACTGGTATACATGGAAGTGGATGCGATTAGTTACCTGAATGTAAATATTGAATATGCGCCTTCCCAAGCTTTTATATGTTGAGCCATTTCTAAACATTATCTCTGCAAAATGGAGGCTTACAGTGTAGTTTCCATTTCCCAGACAAAACCCAAAATAAGTTAGAGAGATGGGAGAAAGGCGAGCGTTCATGTACAGTTGAGGATCGGTCATAGAGAGTCTAGTTTCATTATTCCATATAAAGGTGTCCATAGAGTGGTCATCATCAGGGAAGTAACCGGTGCTGCTTAATGCCCAATTTGTTCTGCTGTAAAATGATGAAGGTCCAGCTGGAAATGTGTCATCATCATATACTGTATCTTTCTCTCCAGGGACAGTAACTTGTTTCCCACCACAATTTATATGGAGAGAGTAGAAATCTATGAAAAAAGAAAATGGAGATTAGTAGGCATTGAGGAGGAAAACTAAAAAAGAATGAACCGAGAAAATAAAGGTAATTATTTGTGTAGAAACTCGGCTTACGTTTTGGACACTGTGAAGTTTTCAAACATGAAGCAGTTGTCCTAATAGAATAATTCAAAGGAACAGAAATTGTCAGCAATCATAAATGAGAAGTTGCAAAAAAAATTAGTACATAATACACCGTTGGATACCAAAGTAAATTTATAGGTGCATGCTTTGAGACGATTAATTTGAACTTACGAACTATTGCCTTTTGACGAGCTTGTAAACAAGTTACTGCAGAAATTAACACAAATGAAAAGTTAAGCTTTTCTCCACATAACACAAACAGATTAACTTCAAGCTAATGAAGACATTCTTACAGGCCGCCTCGTGGTTGACAATTTGGATCCCCTATGGTGAGGTTGTTATATGAAAGATCACTGCACAAAAAGAGCTATGATGCAAATTCTGTTGAATTGTAATTCTCTAGCTGATTAGATTTAGTGAAATAAGTTACGAGCTTAACTGTGCATTCACTTGAGTTGTAACACTGCCAAGTGTGAGGTTCAAAGATGTGAGGCAAATAATGCCATGTGTGATGATCCTAGAATATAGTTAGATGTGTGGTTGAGATCACTTTGTAATGTCCAAGGATCCGGCTGTGTTTTGCTAATGGTAATATTCTCTTTGCACGACTTGTGTGTGAGAGAGAGAGTGAGAGAATGTCAAATTAAGAAGGATTTTCCTCGACTGCATTCTGCAGAGCAGCGAGGACCTACATTCTGTGTGATTTTCTTCATCCTTTCATTTTCATTATTAATCATCTTCCTCCCAGTCCTCATATTCATTGAGGTTTCATAAACCAGAATCAAAGAAGCACTAACAAATTCTTTTCCAGATGTAGTATGTCAGTACAAAAGGAAACAAGGGTGAGGAGAAAGAGGTAGGCATTAACATGGTTCGAATGAAGTTTTTGATATAATAGTTTTATATCTATCTTAGTAAAAAAAATAAAAAAATAAAAAAAAACAGCGTAAATTTCCTTAGTAACTAAAGAGTAGCATTTGGAAGAGAAGCTTACACATTGTCTTTCGTCCAAGTAGGTACACGTCCAGTCAGCAAGTTTCCAGTTAAGAATCTAAAAATAATGAATACAGAAAAACTCAGTCACGAATATAGTGTTTGTTCTTAGGAATTTCTTTGTGAAGGTTTGAAAATTTGAGTTTGCCAACTCTGGGTGCATTAGATCATTACTTCCATTTGAAAGACACACCTAAGGGTGATCACCTTATGTCAGTTAATTGCATGAGTATTAATGACTCTAATGAATAAACTAAACATTTCATTTCTGAGCAGAAGAGCCGTTTTCATTTTCATTGCAGTATAGCCTGTGACTCATAATTATAGTAATCGTGATTTGAAATACTTCACATTGAAGAATGTCTGCGTGAATTTCATGTAAGAAAGACTAGATTGGTCATTCCAATTGCTTACATATAACCCACTTTTGCTAGACTAGAAAAGCTGTCTGGAATATCTCCGGTCAGCTTGTTAAAGCTGAGGTCTCTGCACAAACAAATAGCAAATGCAATTTAGATGTGCTCCCTGCAGAGAGGGAAATGACTTCTGAAAGAGATGTTCTCTTAATAAATACAGAAGCATAAAGTCCGCTCAACATCGTCTAAGTCACGTCAATAATCCTTGAAGTAGTAGAATCACATCTAGAAGAAATTTTTTTATTTGACAACGGAAGAAATAGGGACTAAGACATTTGTGCTTACAAAGTTTTCAATTTTTTCATTTTCTCAAGAAATGGAGGTAACTGTCCAGTAAGGTTGCAACTTCTCAACATCCTGCAACAGAAACACCAAAGCTTTGAGTTTATAGAAGACTTCCGGTACAGACGGAAATTTTGTGTCATGGAACCATTAACTCACAGTGTCTTCATGTTTTTCATCTTATCGAGCTTTGGAATGGGTGATTCAGGTCCACTCAAGTCAGTGATTCTCCTGCATGTTAAAATTGGGCCATGAACATAAACTTCGCATTTCACTAATCGTTTTGGATTTATAAACAGAGACGAGATATACTAACAAGTCAGTTAAGTTTGTCAAAAGAGAAATGCCAGAAGGAATTGGCCCTGTCAAACCGCTAGCCTGAATCAATCTGTTTCAATGAGTCATAACATATGAATTAGTGATAATATTCAGAATCAAATAGCAGAAATATGATACACAAAAGAAAAACACTCACAGTTTTTCAAGATTTGTCCAGTTCCCAATAAAATCAGGTATCTGCCCGGAAAAGTGACTGTCACTAACCCGACTGCATAATGATTGAAAAAGGGAAAATACTACGAATTAGTATCAGAAAGCAATAAAAAAATTGTATGAGTGCTCAGGAAACCTTTAAGAAGAAAGAACCACAGAAGCTTACAAGTCCTTTATTTTGGTAAGCTTTGCAAATGTTTTTGGCAACTCCCCGCTAAAGTTGTTTGAGGAAAGCAACCTAAGTATGAAACAGATATAAAGAAGTAGATGATTTACTGGTGAAAACATCCAGAATTTGTCTACAAGAAAGAAAATTGCAAATAAACCAAATAATTTTAAACACGGTAAAATTTGAATAGGGCTCTTACATTCTTTCTATGTTGGCCCAAGATCCAAGCTCCCGAGGGAGAGGTCCAGAGAAATTATTCATACCGATGTCCCTATACAAACAAATTCAATTCCATTGATTAAAAAAACATCATTTAGGATCATCATAGAATCAAATGGGGTAAGCAAGAAACAAATGCGCAATCAACACTCACAAACTCTGCAGAGTGGTGATGTTTCCGAGCTCTTTGGGGATAGAACCTGTCAAACGATTTCCAACAAGGGATCTGCATCAAAAACTGTAGTCTTAAGATCACTTTTATCAAGCAAGTGGATCAATAACATTAACATGTTCGTCAATACACCCCCATGTGTTCGATTCAATATTTATGATTCAAATGCCTCATGACCACGGAAGCCCATCATCATGAACAAAACCCAATGTAGTAGATTCATAGTTTAAGAAAGAAATGGCTGAAGAACATTGGAGTGACCAAATAAAGCAATAAGAACATGACATGAACATCAAACACAAAAATGTATGCAGTTTGAGAGAAGACAGTACATGTTCAGAAGTGGAAGAGAGCTCCATTCTGGAGGGATGGTACCGCTCAGGTAGTTGCGGGTGAGGTCGCTGAAGGAGAAAGAAAGAAACCAGTTATTGTCTCATTAACAACATAAATAAAGGTAAGCTAAATATGAAATTAGAATAAACCATTTACACGACACATAGTTATTTTATTTTAAATAATGTAAACTTGGAGGGGTTAAAATGTGCTTACATTACTTGAAGATAGGTGAGATTTACCAGCTCTACTGGGAGTGTTCCTTGCAAATCTTGGGCTTTTTGAACTCTGTGTTTCATTGGAAAACAGAGTTTCAAAGATTAATTGCAAATTAACAGATATCCATTACGCATCTATATTGTGACTAAAAGGAAAAGCTGCCACAGAAATGAGACCAAACAGGTAAAACACTAATTTATCATAGAAAATGCTTACTTTTGGTCGGGGAATTAAATAGGAAGAAGGAACTGGTTTTCTTCTTTAAAACCGAAGGAAAATGTCCAATGTTCTTTAGAAAGAATAAAACTTGAGGAATTACACAAACGGTAAATGTGTATTTGTTACAAGCACACTGTGAATCATTCTTTCATTAACTTTGTAACTAATAACTTTGTCGATACAGAGTTGTATGTGTATAATAAGTATGCAAGA